TCAGCAACAGCTACTGCTGTTACATAACTACCTGTTGATAAAGTGCTGGCACTTTCAAAACTTCCATTACTGTATCCAAATAAAACACTGGCAGTATTAGCATGATCATTAACAGCGACAAGGTCTAGATTATCATCCTTATTAAAATCACCAATGCCAATTCCATATGGATAAGAACCAACTGCAATATTCATACGTGAGTTAAAACTTTTATTACCAAGACCAAGAAATAAACCAATACTATTATCTTTAGCCTGAGCTACGATTAAATCTAAATTATTATCCTTATTTAAATCAACACTTCCGACAAATACAGGATAATTAGCAGTTTGTAATATTATCGGTGTTTGAAATGTTCCATTTTCTTGATTAAAATAAATTCCAAGATTTGCATCACCTGCATTGAGAACGATTATATCATTGCTATTATCATTATCTAAATCAGCAATACTAATTGACCATGGTTGATTACCAGTCGAATAATATATATATGCACTATAAGTTAATGATTGACATGGGGAATCTAAATTAATAAAATAAAACATTATTTCGATGCAATAATTAAGGTGTGTGTGTGGGTCTGAGTATACTAAGATATATCCACACCCACACCCACACCCTCAGGAGAAACTTTAGACCATTTTTGAATCTTGGAGTCTCTAAAAATACAGAAAGACGGTGTCTGGCAACTCAGATTCTAGAAGAACTTTTGCTTTACTATTTGAGACCTATCTATAGTGGAAGTTTCAAGAATTTTCGCCTTTTCGTTTTCTAGAAATCCCGAAAAGGGGGGGGGGTGGGGTTTCCTTAAGAGACAAAGATAGATATAAGGGGGCAGGCGTAGTTTTAAGCCGTACAGAATACACACCGGATTAGGAGCTTAAAGGTTTTCCAGAACTTCGAAGGGTTCAATAGGTTTTCGTGACTAATTATGAATATACCAATATTAGTGTATTCAGGATTTTTGAATTGTTAGATACTTTCACTCGAAAACCTTTTTTAGAGCCTTGAAGACGTTTCACGAGATTCCAGAGACTTTATGAGAACAAATAGCTTCGAAGGACTTGAAGCACTCCACCAGTCTCTTCGAGACTTCAGGAGACATTACTAATCTTCAAAACTGATGTCTTCGCTGCTTTTCGTAGGGGAAACAACAAAGTAGATTTGCCCATTCAAAACTATGCTGTTCGTTAATAGATTTGAGCTCATAAATGTTATTCTTCAAATATTTCACTAGGTAACGTAAAAAAAATACTTAATATTTAAAAGATTATATGATGAATAGAAACTTACTTGGATTCACGAGCACGAGGCCGTGTCTATCAAGAATATCATAAAACGGATGGTATTATATAGAAAGTTTACATACATGCGAGTGGTGAGGTGATGAAAAACGAGCAAGCTAAGGCAAGAACAGGAAGGTTCAGATAAGTGAGCTTCACATTTGAACTCCACGTTTGGAGCTCACTTATTTGGGCCTTTCTTGGAATATTTTAGAGCTCAAGCAGAATCTAGGAAAGAAAAGTTTGATGTGTTAAATGCAGAAATACATGGGCTACAAGGACGTAGGTGAGGGTGTCGGTGTGGGTTTAGATATAATATTCATCGAGCACACACATCCACGCTATTTTCCTATTCAAAGAAGAAGGAGGAACTCTTTTCAATAAAGGCTCTCTCGAGCAGTATTACACTTACTTATACAAATGCCGTTGATACACTCACCATTATTACAGTCTTTTGCCAGTGAACAATTTTTACCCACATCGCATGTAAGACATGAGCCTCCACAATCGATGTCCGTTTCATCTCCATTCATAAGTCCATCAAAGCAGGTTTTATCTAGGAAGAGGACAAAGATCCAAGAAACCTTGTCACTCAACAAATCATTCTTTACCTCTACTAAGTACAAAGACGTCTGTGGCACTGAGTTCTCGTGAGTAAACACGAAACTCATCTAAATAGCCAGAAAATGGGCATGGTACCATTGATCGGAAACCACATCCGCCACCACTTAGTGAGTTGCCTAATGTCAGAATAACTATTGTACTTGGTCCATTATAGTTCTGTGCACCTGTACTACCAACAGATACTCCATTAACATATAATGTAAGCCCATTCATTTGTGAATAGGTAGTGGCAATATGTGTCCACGTGTTGATCGATAGCACAGGACCTGTTACCTGGTTGTCTGGTACCCAAGCAGTCGCGATTATATTACCAGCAGAGGAAAATCCTATTGGAACAGTACACCGTCCTTGTCCATCTGTTTGTGTCGAGTAATGAACAAGAGTTCCTCCACCTGTCGATGTTCGTTGTACCCATAGAGACATTGAAAATGATCTGGTAATGACTCCAAGAAGGACATATCCAGATATCTAAATAATTATAATATATAGTATGATCGTCTCATAGTTTGGAACGTTTTTAAGCTTTTTTATACTACTTTCTTCATAAAATAATCTATGATTAGTTTACTAGAGAAACTTTCTAGAAGCTTCTTCTAACGAATTTAATAGTTGATAATAATATGGATAGAATAATTCGTTACTTATGTTGCAGACTTTATTTTATTTGTGATCACAAAGAGAAATTGGAAGAGTAGCTTTACCGCTATCTTCGGTATATAAACGATGTTACACACACTACTTCATTCTTCCAAATCTACCTATTCTTTTCTTTTACACATACATATATGTGAGATATAATACGTTGCTCGCTACGCTTGAGAAGAGAAGAGAAGAGAAGAGAAGAGAAGAGAATATTATATGCACATATAACGGTCGAGGTTATAACACAAGGAGATAAGAAAGATATTACAATATAAAATGAACGCGATACTCCTTCAATGACGATTTTGTATCGCGCAAGGATAATATCTTTGAAGAATTAAGAATTGTATAGAAATCGTGCCTATCGGCACACTTCTAATCATCCTTCAGTTAACAGAATGGCATGATTAGATACCCTCGTAGTATGTTTAAGGATAGTTCATAAATTAAACAAGGCTGCGCATCGCATTCACGAGTAAAACAAAACTTTAAAAAAATCAGTGATCATAAAGAACCTTTTGTTTTGGCTATTAGTCAGTTAAAAGTTTTATTTTGAGCTCGATATGTTCTTCAAGATTGTCTTTAACCAAGAAATTATTTGTTTCTGTATATGAGACTTTATCATGGTTTTTATTGCAATTATTCAAATATCTCTCGGAGAGAATATTCGATTTTTGAGTGGTAAGGCTCTAGTATGCAAAATACATGAACTCCTGTGTATCAGATTTTTGCTTTCATAAAGTATTTATAGTGAAAAGATCAACTATGTCGACGACTTACCTGATAATAAGATGAACTCAAGCTGA